TACTCTTAGGAAATGGAACCCTAGGCCGGCGTGTGGCACCGCAATCAAGTCAGTACGCATATCCATGAGTGTGTGATCTCTGTGCGTGTTGTCTCGGTGTGTGTTGTCTCTCTATGTGTTGTCTCGGTGTGTGTTGTCTCTCTGTGTGTGTTGTCTCGGTGTGTGTTGTCTCTGTATGTGTTGTCTCGGTATGTGTTGTCTCTGTATGTGTTGTCTCTGTGTGTGTTGTCTGTGTGTGTGTTGTCTCGGTGTGTGTGTGGTCTCTGTGTGTGTGATCTCTGTCTGTGTTGTCTCGGTGTGTGTTGTCTCTGTGTGTGTTGTCTCTGCGTGTGTGTTGTCTCTGTATGTCGGTGTGTGTTGTCTCGGTGTGTGTGGTCTCTGTGTGTGTTGTCTCGGTGTGTGTGGTCTCTGTATGTGTTGTCTCGGTGTGGAGGGAGGAGGCGGCGGGAAGCGGGATGAGACATGGAAAAGAAGAACCCCACACTAAGACGTGGGGAACAAGAAACAATACGCAAGTGCCCCTACACTAAAAAGCTTTCAAGGATGAGACCTTTTTTGATATTCACTCACCCCTCTGCCAGAATAAGCAAGACCGAATGGCTAGCGCTCGCTTACTTCCCGGCTGCCCCAGAAATACTTAGAGAACTCAGCAACACTAGATGTTTTCAGAAGAAAAATAGAATTACTGTGAGATTATCTGGGAGAGTTCTGTGCAATCGTTCTTCTTACTCTTCACTATATTTTGATTATTTTGGTCGTTTTCAGAAACTCCCTAAGTAGAGGAAGCAAGACTCCCTACAAGAGTGCTGTGCACTCTTACTTCTTACTTCAAACTGTGTAGAAAACTCCTCTAAATACTGGACAGTTTACTTCCGTGATTCCAAGAACACAGTGTGTAGGTATATATGTTCTTATATTATATATAACTATGTGGCGCCCCGCAGACCAACAAAGTCAAACATTGAACCTTTCCATGTAAGAAAACACAGCAAATATCAGTAAAATCTAGGAACGCCTAGGTTCGGGGGGTGCCATGTTTAGATATGCGCAAGAATCTAGATACATTATAGGGTCCAATGAACCCATCGTCTGAACACATAATTGCCAAGACACTCCTTTCCTGCCCAGAAACCCCCAAGACGCATCAGGTCTATGGAGGTAAAGTGAATGGCTCTATGTTGGCCGGGCGCAACTTCCTTGGGCGCGAGTCAGTGGATGTGGAGTCTGTTCTTATCTTTGGTGATGTGGGAAGCGCTGGCGTCACCCGCCGTGCCATGGCCTTGCTAGATGCATGCTATCCCTTTGCGCATAAGGCTGGGCTGTTGACTGATGAGGCTGTTGGCTTGAAAGGCCGGGTTGATCGGGTGAGGGCTTGGGATGGTCACTTGCCAATTGGATCCATGTTTCGGTTGCGATTTGACATCGAAAAGTCTTGCCCCCCAGGCAGTGAACCGACGCAGGGAACCTGCGCCTGCGCAGTTTTGCTGCTGCCAGGAGCCTTGGGCTCCGCAGTAAACCTCTGCGGAGTGCGACCATTGGCTGAGCTGCCTGTGCTTCTTGTTTGAAGAGATGAGAAAACGCAAAATCCTGCAATTTTCAAGGCCTTTTATGTTTTGATTCATGCTCGGTTGCTTTGGTCTTCAGTGTCCGCCAATGCTCCTGGTTCCTTGGGCCGTTTCGCAAACCATACTTCCCATGGGCTCAAAAATCCTACTGCTGTCGGTTAGTTGGCGGTAATGTTTGGGAATTGTACATGCTGAGACGTACCCGATAGAACTCTTCAAATTTGTGGAACGCTTGCCTCAATCTGGACCCAATTTGCTTTCCTTCTGGACATCGCGTATTCTGGTGCGTGCAGTGCATCTGAGAAGGCGCGTCAGTGTGTGTGTTGATAGTACAGTTGATCTACAGCCTTCATCTCTGCATGTTTTTTCAGGATAGAGCTTCCTCCCGCCAAGAAGGAGGGTGCTTCTTGCCAGATTTTAGGTCACGTGGCCACCCATCAGGTTGCACGTCACCAAAACGATGCGTTGGGAAACTCAACAGCCCCCCACCCAAGATGTATCATGCTTGGTGGTCCCGTATAGTTGTGCAACGATACATTTCCAGTTTCGCAAACCCAAATCTGAAAAACACGGACTTGGGCAGAGCTGAGATCCTTCCGCGTGTAGCCGTATTGTGTCAAGACGGCCGCTGAGCCATCATTTGCTTCCTAAGGAAAAGGCGCCATGTTTTGATTCAAGTCGCACTTGTGTTGAGGATTGATCCACGCACTTTTGCGCCTTCTTGGAACACCGCGTGCTGCGTGATTAGCGTTCACAATTGCTACCGCGGCTCCATTGTTGTTGTTGTTGTTGTTGTTGTTGTTGTTGTTGTTGCTGTTAGAAACAAATACAGCCGCCCAACATAGTTGTCACATGTTGTAACTTTGAAACTTCAAGCGGACAAGGCTAGGGATAGGGTTGAAGGTTTGAGCGAATGTTGGTTTCGCAACTAGGTGGACTTGTTGGACTTTTTTTTGAGGTGTTGTTCTGGAGGGGGTTGCCAAAAAAATCAACAACGGGGCTGCAGTTCTTGTTTCTAGGATGTGGTAGAGGTTCTAAGTGGAAGCTTTACAGAGGTTTTCCTGACTGGTTGCTACTACTGCGACGACTGCGACTACCACCTCCTACTACTACTACCACCACCACTGGTACTACGACCGCCCACTACTTCTTCTTTTTCTATTACTACTACTACTACTACTTCTACCACTACTACTACTACTACTACCACTACTACTACTACTACTACTGCTACTCCTGCTGCTGCTACCACTACTACACCTACTACCTACTACCTACTACCTACTACTTACTACTACTACTACCACCACTACTACTACTACTACTACTACCTCCTACTACTACTACTACTACGACTACCTCCCGCTACTACTACCTCCTACAACTACCTCCGACTACTACTACTACTACTCCTACTACTACCACTACTACCTCCTACTACTACCTCCTACTACTACTACTACCTCCTACTACTACCTCCTACTACTGCCTCCTACTAGTACCTCCTACTACTACCTCCTACTACTACTACTACCACTACTACTACTACTACTACTACTACCTCCTACTACTACTTCTACTTCTACTTCTACTTCTACTATTACTACTACTACTACTACTACTTCTACTTCTACTTCTACTTCTACTACTACTAAAACTACCACTACTACTACTACTACCACTACTACTACTACTACGACGACGACTACTACTACTACCACTACCATTACCACTACCACTACCACTACCACTACCACCACGACGACTACTCCTACTACCACTACTAGTAGTAGTAGTACTACTACTACTACTTCTACTGCCACTACTACTACTACTACTACTACTACTACTACTACTGCCGCTGCTGCTGCTGCTACTGCTACTACTACTACTACTACTACTACTACTTCAACCGCCAGTACTACTACTACTACTACTGCTACTGCTCCTACTACTACTACTACTACTACTACTACTACTACTACTACTGCTTGTGAAGAGGAATGGGAAGATGACGAAACTTTTCCGTTTTGGCAACGTCGTTCTGAGGCTGAGTGTGAAGATGTGTGAAGAGTTCAATCGTGACCAGGACACTGAGCGTGTTAGCATGAATGGTGCTGGTGTGTTTGTTGAACAGTTGTCTTCGTTTTTACCCGCCTTTGTTGGAAGACCGGTCGCAAGAGTCCACGGTAACAGGAACAAAGCCGATCCAAAGATGAAACACCTTTTTGGCAATGCCTGAATCATGTTCATGTTGATCTCCTGGAAGAACAAACTCACAGTGAAGTAGTCAGGGCGCCAATCCCTGACCATGTGTCCTTGAAGATGAAATCCTCGAAGTCCGAGCGAATCCCGGAATTACCCATGACAGCTTCCAGCCAACTCCAAGTCGTTCCTATCAGGCCCAAGTAGTGGGCTTTACGGCTTTACGAGTCCATAACCCCTGCACCTTGGAGATGCATGCGTTGCGGCTATGACCCGTTTTATAATTTTACAACGCACGGGCCTCCACCCAAGTGCACGCTGAGGGAGGATTTTGATATATGTTCCAGCTAGCTGGTTTTTATGGGTCGTTTCCATCATCTTCTTCAAGTAGCAGCAGTGCTGTGATGCTCGATCTCATTTGCCACCTGGAGAAGAAACATGTTCCTTGGGGATTTTGGACCACCAACCCCCGAATATGACGAATGGCTTGAGAACAGGCACTTCGAAAACAGTTTGGGCTCCGATCCAGAAGTTTATCTCGAAAGCGCCTTTGCCAAAGCCTAGTCGTAAGCAGAGACCAGCGCCTCAGGAGGAGCTTTCGGGGAATAGCTGCTCCGACCATGGACCCAAAATTCGAAAGGATCAGACAAAGACCAGCGAAAAACACGGACATCAGCACACCTAAGATCTTTTCACATTTGGCCGTATCGTGTCAAGACAGCCATCATTTGCTTCCTATAAGGAAAAGGCACGTGTTTTGACTCAAGTTGCATTTGTGTTGAGCATTGACCCACGTGCTTTTGCGCGCCTTCTTGGACACCGCGTGTTGCTTGATTAGCGTTGCTACCAAACGCATTGCGTCCCTCCTGTTTGGCTCTCTGTCCTGCGCGCCTCCGGCTTGCCTGACTGCCTGGCTGGCTGGCTGGCTTGTCCTGTCCTGTCGTCTGACTTGTCTGTCTGGCTTGCTCTGTCTTGTCTGTCTGTTGTTTTTCATGTCACTTGGATTTTTGGCAAAGCAGAGTCAAGTGGCAGGTTTGATGCAGATCTCAGACGGGGAATCATTCGAACAGTGGAGGACCTTCTCGCTGCCGCGGTGCCTGGAGATCGGAAACCTTCCATATCTGCGGCAGAGGCCATCCAGGAGATCGCGCGAGCCTTTGTTGAACCCAAGCAGTTCCATAGTTAAGCCCAGAAACGGATTTTGTGCATCGAGGCAAAGGATGCTGGAGTCCGTGAAGCAGACCTTTGGGTGGGTCTTCCACGCGTGGCAAGTCGAGACTCTGCGCAGCTACGAGTGGCGCCTGGTGCAGGAGAGTGGGCTTTATACCCATGGGGCACATTGACTGCATGTCCGTCGAAGGTGAAATTCAGCGGGTTGCAAAGGTTGAATAAGCAGATGTGAGGGAAGAAATGTGGCGTCAGACACGCGCAAGCAAGGCTCATGACTGGTCTTTGCAGAGAAAATTTGGGCTGCGTAAGCGAACCCTGATGCTTGCATTTTGTTTGGTTTAAGTTGGACAGGAGAAATGATCGCATCGTTTTAATCGGATTTTCTTGCGGTCTTAGTCTTGTGTAGTACTTAGTAATACATATATATAATATATTTCCGCGCGCGCGCACACATATATACATATATATGTGCTAGCCCCCCCAAAACCCACCTGCTTCTAATTTATCTCGAAGTTTGTCCCAATTTAGTTTTATGTTAATTCAAAATTGCTTTATATATTTCAATCTATTTGTAATCATTTTCTAGTTTCAGCTAGTTTAAATCCTATACAATTCAATTTCCGTTGTTTTAGCGTTCTAGTGTAACTCTATGTTGATTTCCAACTGAATTTCGATTGATTGTAATTTAATTCTCATTCGGTTCTAGTTCAATGCAAATGATTTCTAATTCAATGCAAATGGAATCCTCCCTTAATTCTAACTTACTTCTAGAGAGAGGGTGTTGCTGGGGGTGCGATGTTAAGAAAACAACCTTTAAGAAAGCAACGCAGAAATTATACACAAAGCTTTCATTTCAAAATCAACACCCGATTAGAATTGCATAAAAGCCAAAATATAATTAGGAACGGCGTAGAATTATATTAGACTTAAACATAAAACTGCAAAGAAGTTAAGTTGAAAATAGAGCAGCAGTTAAATAGAAATACATGTGCATTGAACTCCATAGATTATATATGGAATTTACTAAACATTAAAATTAAAATTCAACTGAATGATAGCTCAAACCCTAAATGACCTAGTTCTAATTCAATTCTACATCAATTCACATTCAAATCTGCATGCTTAATTCTACTGTAATTATATGTTGAATATCTTTTCAACTATCATTCAAGTGGAATTTAATGTTGAATAACTTCCACATATATATATATATATTGATTTGATTCGAGTTCAATGCAAATTTATTTCTTTTTAATTTTAACTTTTTTGAATCTATTTCATATGCAGTTTATGTTTAAGTCTAATACAGCGCTATTTTTTTCTAATCTAATTTTTGCTTTCATGCAGTTCTAACTTGCTTCTAGAGAGTGCGCGTTGCCTTCAACGTGAACGCTTTGTATGTAATTTCTGTGTTGCTTTCTTGAAGGTTGTTTTCTTAAAATCACAACACAACCCCAGCAACATCCTCTCTCTAGAATAAAATCAACATTAAATGCGAATTCAATTCAAATTGAGTTATAGTTAAAATTCGGTTAGAATTAATCAAAAGTAAATTGGAAGTCAAAGTGGAATTAAGCTAGCATTGTAAACAACTAAAATTGAATTATATAAGATTCAAACTAGCTGAAACTAAACATTAATTGCAAATAAGTTGAAACAAAAGGATAACTGAATTTGACCTAATTTAAACTAAAATAGAGCTAACTCCGAGATAGATTAAAGCTTAAATTAGATTGGAACTGGAATTAAACTAAGATTGAATAAACGTATCATTTTTTCTACTAGAATTGGGTTAGAATTAATTCCGAGAAGGCCTTGGATCGCTTCCTGTCTTTCTTGAAGGCCGAAGGCCTGCGCCTACCCACACATAGGGAGCAGTTAGACGCTCTGGTCATGGAGGTGAACTGCTCGAGGTGGTTAGAAGCAAGGTGGAGGTGTCAACCAAACTGCGAATAGTAATTGCTTTGGGACTAACCAAATCTGGGAAGCGAAGCGGTGTCCAAGAGAGTGTGTCGATTGGTCACGATACCGCGTTCCGATTTGTACAGCACTGGGCCTCCTTAGCAACACAGCCCCAGGAACTCTGTCCATCGCCTGCACCATGGTTCAGCTTTTTTCAAAACCTGAATTGAGAGCCTCAAACTAGAACCCCTTGAGCTGAGACAGTACTCCTTACGCGGTGGCGGAGCCACGTGGTGGTTTTGTCAACGCGGCAGTTTAGATCGGGTCATGATTCTCGGGCGGTGGCACCTCAATGAATCACGAGCCATTTTGGCGGAGATGAAACTTGGACCCCTGGAAAGAAGTTTGGCGCCTTTCAACACCAGTTTTCGCAATTCAGACCCCGACACTTTGAAACATTTGAACTGCAAAACAACAGGCCGACCTCTCAGAAACGAGGTCTGGGGGGACGTGGAAGAAAGAAACCAAATATGTCGAAGCCAGCGAAAGCGAGAAAAAGAAGCTGGTGTTCCTCAGGACCTGGCCAGGGTTTGGGGGGTGGCCCACCTGGTCAGGGGGGAACGATTATCCGGAAACACCCCCTGTTGTGGACCGGGAAGGGGGGGATAATCTACTCGGTCTTTTTTTGGGAGATCCTTTTGTTGACTATCTAGCTGCAGAGCAAACAGGAAAAAGAGGTGCTGCTTACTCTTTATATATATATATATGTGTGTGTGTGTGTTTATACCTGGAACTGGGAATTGGTTCCAACCTGTCTTCGACACCACTTGGACCTGGGTCACAGAGTGAAATGGTGAAAGCGTGTCTGCCACCCGTGCCCGAGTTCGAGCCTCTCCAACCTGGGGAGGGGCATGACTCGACTCAGTGTGGGGCAGCAGAATGGCATCAGGAAACTGTTACACATCCTGGCACCAGACGAAGACAGTCAACCTTATGACGATCCTTTGCAGTCCTTTGCGCCTGAGGCCTGGTTTCAGTTGAAGGGAGTCTGCTACTTCAAGCAAACCCCAGAGCAGAAGGCGTTTGCCACAAGACCATCGATCGCGTGAGAATTTTCACCACCGATCCAGATCAGGAGGCCGTTTCAGACTGTATTTTCTAGACTCGTGACTCTTTCAATTCCTTTTGCCACAGGCGCTAGGCCGACTTGGTCGTGCCTATGACCTGAATGCACTGGCAACTTCAGAGTCAAGTGAGGTATCGGGAGGGTCGGTGAGGGGACCTGGGAACACAAGGAATGGGACGAAATCTAGCGTTCAGCTAGCTGAGTTTGCTCTTGCTTTTAGCAAGCGAGGGAGGCCTGAGGCCAGAGAAGTTGTCTTCCACTAGAATCCCACCGTTCCACCCCTGCTCGGCGGTCGGGATACACCCCGTCTCCCACTCAGCCGTGACAAGTCACTTCTGTGAGTAGGGCATTGAGAAATGCCCGCGGCCAGTATATAAGCTGGCCGTTGAAGTTAGGTATCGTTGATTCTTCCAGTCAGGACTCCAAAAATACACATGGTTTTCAAGCATTTGCTCTAGATGGTCGGGCCAGTACATCTCTCGGTTCGCTGGTATATAGCTGGTGGAGTTTTTACAGTACCTTACTTTTGTTGTGTGAGCAAAGATTCACCCATATCCAAACCTCCAAGATGAGAGAAGACCTGTGGTGGAAGGTTTGCGGATGCATGGTATGTGCCACTCCAGTCAAGCCTCAAGATTCAAGATCAAACACTAGTTGATAGGTTTCAATCAAAGACCTTGCTTCCCTCACTGTCAAATGAGAGTACAGTGTCATGACATCCTTCCATGATCGTATGCACAGTGGCTCGAGCGCATAGAAAAGCGCGAGTGGCCGCTTTTGTGCTGGTAGCGGAGCCCATCCAGGGCTACCAGGGTTGGGCGCCGTGGCATGGCTCCTGGCGGTGACCATGTGGTCACAGGAGCACTGCGGGAACGAAGCCACCATCTACTTTCCTCCATGATGGTTGGCAGCTGACAAACGAGAAGACCGCTGGCTTCGAGGAAGCAAATTCGAGTTCCACGATGTTGGAAGAGCTTTGTGCTGTTGGGTTCGAGTCCCACGGACATTGGTTTGAGGCCGAGTCTACAGGTTGCTTCGCTGGCGGTGTGTGCAGAGAGACAGGGCAAGGGTTCAAGGCCTTTGGACACCATGTTGGTGAGTGCGGCGCTTGGAGACGAGAGACCCTGGAGCGCAACATTGAGACATTGTGCATTGGCAGTTGTCGCATTGCTGGTACATTGGTCGGCGGAGCATTGCGCAACATTCCAGGTTCGTTGAGCTTACCTACCAAGTCGAACACCTAAAATGAAGCCAAGGAGAGAACAGGTGATCTGGTGGCAAACAGGAACGCTGGACATCTGATGAATCAATCCATCAGTGAAGAGTTTGATCAGGAGCATGGACATTAGAAAGACAACATGGCCGTGTACATGTTGGATGAGGAGATGATGTGCTTGACATTTGATGACAAGTGCAAGACGAACTGGGAAGGTTCTACTCAGGAGTTAGGTGCATTGCAGTTGATGAACAAGACAGTTCACGCATTGTCCCAACAGGGTGACAAGTTGCTACAGCAAATGCCCGGTGCAGGTACAGTCCAAGAGCTTGCGGAAGATTTCTTGCACAGGTGTTGGCAGGAGATGAGCTTGACAAGGAGCTGGATCGCATGGACGATGAGCTTGATGGTAGCTTGGTTGACGAGCCACTTGGGCCGGTGCAGACACAAGAAGTCGAGGACAGAGAAGAAGGTGTTTGCAAGAGCTAGACAAGTGAAGAGAAAGCAGTTGTGTGCATTGTTGTTTGCAAGTTGGAAAGAGATGTTCGCGAAGATGGCTGCAATGACAGAAGCAGCAACAAAAGCCGCGACAGCAAGCAGAGACAGCGCTGGCCTCCATGGCTGGTGGATCAGGTGCAGCAAGTGCGAGCTCGAGCAGTGGCATCCAAGCCGGACTGCAAACAGCATCAAAGATTTTGCGCAATCCAGAGCCCTACGATGGTTCAGATCCACATAGCTTCATGACTTGGAAGTTTGTTTCACACCCTGGTTGAGTTTCGGAGAGCCAAAGTTCAAAAAATTGTCGCAGAAGGTGGAACAGCTTGATACGGTGCCGAGCATGTCAGACTACAGTACAGAAGAGCAAACTCTCAGCGTCAAGTTGTTTTCCATTCTGACCAGCTACATGCGTGGAAAGTGCCTCAACATGGTTCAGGCAGATAAGTCATCGCAGGACGGATTTAAGTTGTGGAAGGGGCTACGCCAAGAATTTTTGCGTTCAACCAGAAGCAGACCCCTGGCAGTGGCACAGGCGTTGGCAAGCTACCCAGCATCCCCAAAGCACAAAAGTGTGCTGGAGTGCATTGTTCAGTACGAACGCTGGGTGCAAGAGTTCGAGACTTTGAGTTCCACAACATATCCTAGGGAGCTGCAGATTGCAACATGAATTCGTTGTGCAGAAAGCAAGTTGCGTGAACGCTTGACTTTGACGATCACTAAAAGCAGTAGCTATCAGAATGTCAGAGAAACAATGTTGTCTCATGAACAAGCTTCAAAGACTTGGAATCAAGAGTCTGTCCTTCGCAGCCTGGCGGTGAAGACAGAAGGAGGTATGATCAAGACAGACACAGGAGATCCCGCGCCGATGGACGTAGATCGCATTGAAGACAAAGGAAAAGGAAAGGGTAAGAGCAAGAGCAAATGCAAAGGCAAGTGGTGGCAGATTCCATTCTACCCCAACTGCAAAGGCAACTACAAAGGTAAAGGAAAGAGCAAAGGCAAGCAAGGAGGAAAAGGAAGAACCAGTGCCGCATTTGTAGAGCTTTTGGCCATTGGTCCCGCGATTGTCCACAAAGAGTGCAGCAGGTGATAGATGCGCAACAGCAACAACAGAGACCTGCAGGAGGATCAATTGCTTCTACCGCGCCACCATCTTCTGCTTCCACGTTGAACACTGCTGCGAGAAGGATTTTTCAAAGTTTGCCCCTCCATGCATGTCTAGTGAAGCGCAATCAAGTGTGCGCACGGTGTTGATCCAAGAAGTCACAGAAGATGTTGGCTATGTTTGAACAACAGACAACAGTGATTTTAGATTCAGGGTCAGATGTTAGCTTGCTGCCCATGTGTTTCAGTGCACAAGATATGCAGGCTACAGCAGTTCGACTTCAGGATTGCCAAGGAACAGCATAGAGAGCAGGAGGTTGCCGTGACGCCACTCTTGTCGTGAAGGACGCCTTGACAGGAGAAGAAGTTGAGTTGAGACACCAGTTCATTGTTGGAGACATGAAGAGTTGCATTCTTTCCTTGGGAGAACTCTACAGGAGAGGTTGGAGTGTAGCTCAAGAAAGCAATGGCTTGGTACTCAAAAGCCCAGAAGGTGAAGTTCAGATACCCGTTCACTACCAGCGCAATTCGTTGGCTGTAGATGCAAAGGTCTGCAGAGTTGAGATGCTTGCCAAGGCCGAGGAAGAATCTGATGTTCGCGCAATTGTCCAGATTGCCTCAGAGTATCAGCAGAATAGAAGATATGGTGTTCATCATCCCTTCATGAGAGCTTTGGAACGCTTTCTGGTTGATCCAAGAGTTGTATGGTCTGGTAATTTTGCATACCGAACGACATTGATCCAACTTGTTGCAGACAGTAAGAACACTTGGACAGTTGTGGAAGTGTCAGAGAAATATGCAGAGCTTGAAGAACCTTTTGGAAGGATTCAAGAGATCCCAGAGGATGAGCAGTTCGTCATCCTCACCATCCTTTAGGAGAAGGAAGAAAATCTTTCAACCTTTGGTACGCTGGTGGAGGAGGTGTTTTGTTGGCTCCAGATGTCGCAGTTTAGGTACAGGAGATGGCCGCAGAAGAGGTTGGACAGGAGATTCCAACAGAGGAAGTTCAGGGACAAGATGTTCCCACAGGTGAGCTGGAGTTCCAGCCACGTCCCAGAGAAGGAAAGGAAGAGGTCATCTATGTTGGTGTGGAGTTGACAGAGCATTCCAATAGGAGAGATTTGAGACAGGCAGCAAAGTTCCTGAAGGTTCCAAGAACGTGAGAGAAAGTTGCATGAGATCACACGTTTGCCATACAAGAAATGGTGCAGTTTCTGTGTCATGGGCAAAGCAAAAGCTGACTACGAACATCCGACAGTAGGAGCAGATGCAGCATTGAGGACATACCCAACGGTGCAAGTAGACATGTTCTTCAACACAGCATCTTTGTCACTTTTGCTGACGGTTGATGTACGGTCCAACTTTGTGCATGTTGTGCCGGTAAAGAACAAGAACGCCGGAGTTTTGGGAGAATTGATGGCCCATTTCCTTGGTTCCACATTTGGCTACATGGAGCGTGTAGAGCTGGCCTATGAATGAACCCGTGTTGGCAGCAGGTGCACGCATGGCTCAACAGATTCGAGCAAACCAAGGATTGGAGACTACGTTGACGCCCGGACGTTTCTATGAGAAGTCGAGGACACGTTTAGCTGAGAGGGTGATTCAGTTGGTCAGAGCACAGGCCAAGACACTACTGGCACATGTAGAAGATCGAGCACGAATTCCCAATAGAAGAGGACAGTGTTACGCAGAGTTGGAGCATGATGCATGCAGCATGGTTGTTGAACCATTACCGTGTCTCTTCCGCAACAGGCCTTACAGCGCATGTGAGCTTGAAGGGAAGGGCATATCGTGGCAAAGTCTGTTGTTTTGGAGAAATGATTTGGGGCCTTGATCCACTACAGAAAAAGTACAGGTCCCAATGGAGAAAAGGAAGTTGGCTTGGCAAGGACAGCATGGATCGCGATCTCATCCTGGTTGACACCGATGAAGTGATTAGAAGTAAAGCCGTGAGGAAGACAGGTGAATTCTGGGATGGTCATTTGCTGTTGAACGCCAAGGTTGGACCATGGGATTTGAAGCGAGGAGTTCGAACCAATGTGGATTCGAGACCTATGCAACCACCTACACCTCAGCCGATTCCCACTGTTCCAGAAGATGCATTAAAGGAGAAGAAGAAAAGAGTTGTTGATGAGGATGCCGCCGCAGTGAGAACATCCCGATTCAGAGAGTGACAAGGATATTGAAGCAGGCGGGGCATCTATGCCAAAAGAGACGATAAGAGATGACGCAACAACAACAGCAGCAGCAGCTACATCGGCAGCAGCAGAAGCAACAGCAACTGGAAGTGAAGAAAGAGAAACAGAGGTTGTGGCATCTATATAGTCCAAAGAGACGCCATGAAGAGACTACGTCCAGTGCATCTAGAGCTTCTAAAGCCCGAGCAGAACCACAGAGAACAAAGAGACCAGAAAGAAGCGCAGCGTACAGAGCAAGAACGCAAGCGTGTCAGATTTGACCCAGATACACCAATCGCAGAACCAAGTCCAAAGACAAGCAAAACATCAGAACATAGCACAGCAGCAGCCTCGACAACAGTCGAGACAGAACATGAGTCGAGAAGAAAAGGAGATGTTCGTCGTGTGATTGAGGACACGGAGCTGTATGATGAGGACGAGGATGAGATTGGTGCCACAGAGTATGAAGGAGATGAAGAAGAAAGGACAAGTTTGAGCAGTTCAGGAGCCGTGATTCCCACACAGGACAAACAGAGAAGAGTCAAGAGGGTTCCTGAGTGAAGGTCAAGGACCACCGACAGTGACGCCAGAGGAGTGGGCATTGCTGACAAAGAAGCACTGTTCACAGAACTCGACAGATTAGGTAAGCTGCAAGTACTGGAGAGCATTTCAGAAGACCAGAGGATTGGAGAGGCAACCGAATTGGACGCTCGTATTGTGTTTGATTGGAGGTTTCGCAATGATGCTGGACGAGGAGAGCAAGGTTAGTGGCCCGTGAGTTCAGGACCACGAACAGCACAGAAGACACATTTGCTCCTACCTCACCTCTCGCTTACACCAAGATGTTGTTTCGGCTTTCCATTTTGCAGAATCTCACGGTTTCGGTCTATGACGTGAGTGATGCTTTCCTACAAGTGCCGCAAAGAGACTTTGTCATCGTGCAGGTTCCAGACTGGGTGAGAGAAGCAGTGCAGGATCCGACGTTACTGTACTGGAGATTGTGCAAATGCTTGCCAGGACAAAGAGCAGCAGCGCTAGAGTGGAACAAGCACTTTGCAAAGCTTTGTGAGGACTACGGATTCGAAGCCTACCAAGGTGGTACTTTGTTTAGGCGCAAAGACGGTGGCCAATACTTGTCTGTTACATCGATGACATTGTGTTGGTGGCAACAGAGAGTGAGCATCAAAGGTTCAAGGAACACTTTTGAGAAGATTTTGACACTCAAGTCAGAAGGACCTTTTGGCATGGAGAAGCCAGGTGCTTTGTACTACTTGAAGCGGCAGATCAGCTTTGGTAGTGAAGGCATTGAGGTCAGCGTGAACCCCAAGTACATTCCAAAGCTGGTGAGTTTGTTGAATCTTCAGGATAAACGCACAAGGACAATTCCTACCCACTCCACGCTTGGCGTGTACAGTCGAAATTCAGTGAAAGAAGAAGAAGTGTTGTTTAAAGAGGAGGCAAAGATTTTCAGATCAGCGTTGGGGATATGCTTGTACACCAGTCAGGAGCGATCAGACGTTCAGTTTGCTGTTCAGCGAACCCCACGAAGAACTCGATGAACGCTTTGAAGAAGTTAGCTTCTTGCCTCAAATGGACAGGAGACATGTGCGTGAGATTTGAGAGGACAGCGTTCAGGAGCAACGTGTTCAGCAGGTGGCATCATTTGACCAATGAAGGTCCGTGTCTCAAGAGATCTTTCAACATAGAGTTGTTCTCAGTTTCTGATTGGGCGACGTCGAAGGTGAGACGAGTGCTGGGTTGATCTTCTTGAATGGACATGGCGTCCACTCGCATTCAAGAGCACAAGCTTCCATAGCATTGTCGTCAATGGAAGCGGAGGTGTTGGCAGCGACGGGATTGCTAGCAGAGGGTATATGCTTGAAGCAGGCATTACAATTCGTCCTGTTGAGCTGCAAACAAGATCTTGGTTGCAAAGAAGAAGAAGTAGAGATGAAGTTGTACATGGAATCCACCTCGGCTCAGGCATTCTTCCAGAGATTAGGTCCAGGACGAGCAAAACATTTGTGCGCAAGGATCCTATGGGGACAGAGTGCCATGAGGAAACAGTGGTTCAAAGTTGCCAGGATTAGTACGCAGAACAATCCTGCAGACCTCAACACAAAGAGCTTGAGCAGAAAACGTCGAGAGTTTCTTGAACAGCTCATTGGTTTGCGCAGCAACACTTTCAGAGAGCGAATAATTCATTCATTTGCTAGCAGCTGCAGGTTTCTTGAAAGGATGTGGTGAAGAGGCAGGCAGTTGCATGAGCTAGAAAGGGTTTGAAGAGACAGTAGGGCATCAAGCCTTCAGCTTGGCAATGCTCACAAGTTTGATTGTGGTGTTGGTTGTGATGTTGAGCGTGTCCATTTGTCACATCAACCACAGAAGGAGACAGTTGTTCAAGTACAAGGACGCATTAGAAGATCTTCAGAGTGAGTTGGTGAGAAACCAAAGACGAAGACGTCCCATAGGAAGCACAAGCCGTGAGACAGGAGGAGGAGATGACGATGAAGACCATGACAATGGTGACGACCCATTTTCAGGATATATGCGCCACACTACCACCAGTACTCCTTACCATGGAGACGAAGGAGAGAGAAGATGAGAATAGTGGCTGTGAGAATGTGAATGAGCCACAACAGAATAGTGCTGGGAGCTCAGGCGGAGGAGTTGATGAAGCAGCGCTATGGAGCAAGAGAGGTTCAGACATGGCAGAAGCCGAATTCACAGAAGAGGAGGATAGCCCCAAAGCATGGACTCAGTTTCTTCGATATCACGGTCGAGTGCAGATGGAAGGTGAAGAAGAAGAGCGATTTGAAGATGTTGAGGAGGAGGAAGAACAACAGGCCGTGAGAGAAGAGACAGTCGAACATCCGGCTAGTTCATCAGCTGGACATGACAATCCAGAAGTTGAAGCCCATGGAAGCATTTCAGATATGGTTGCAGGCACATTGATTCAACAAGGCCGTGAATAGAGTCAGAGAGACCAAGGAGATTTGTTGGACGTTGACTACTGGTGAGTACCAGGTTCAAGAGAGTTGATGTTGAGCTTCGGTTGCGCTGGTATTCCAGCAATACCAAGAGAATTTCAGCAGTGGCGTGATGAGCTCAGAGTGACATCAGGAGGACCAGAAGCTGAAGTTGCTCAAGTGTGCAGATCATTGAGAGAGCGCGTGAGATTATTGGAAAGGGAAGCGCAGACTTTTCCACCAGCAATTCCGCAGTTGAGTCAGTGTCGCAGAACATGGTCGTACTTGTTTCATCTTGTGAAGTTGTTTCAGGCAGATGATCCAAGAGCCTACATGGCAGCTTCGGTTGTTTTTCACAAGTGGTGTGAAGCTGGCAGGCCGCACGAATTCTTTGAAGAGAATGCGACAGATGCTGGCGCAGAGGCTAACGTAGCCGTGAATTCAGAATGTGAGAATGAGAGTGGAGAAGAGGAAGGTGCAACAGACGACGGTGTTGCATCGAGACTTGAGGAGAGTGAAGATCCAGATGGATGGTTTCAGAGAAACTTGATGGAAGATACCGAGTTTGATGGACCATGGGATCCACCTCCAGGAAGCTCAGCTGTCAGAGTGGCTTCGGCTAAGGCAATGCCACGAAGAGATCAAGACGAAGGAAACGATGGCTGAAATGCACGCTTTTGTGAACAGGCTAAACATAGCATGTTCTGAGGCGGGGTGTCAAATGAGAGTACAGTGTCATGACATCCTTCCATGATCGTATGCACAGTGGCTCGAGAGCATAGAAAAGCGCGAGTGGCCGCTTTTGTGACTCACTCAAACGTTGTCACGGCTGATCAGTAGAAACTGGCCGTAGAATATAGTTCCTCACAAAGCTGTATGCCTAAAGTTGACCTAAACATTTGACACTGAATGTAATGCGCCATTGAACAACATCAAATCATCGCCAGAGGTGCCCTATGCGCGGCTTTGCTTTGCTGCGGGACCTGGTCCTATCAAAAGCGTTGACAATGATGTTCAACTGGTGGCATTTGGCCAGGCTTGGAAGGTAGAAAGCAGTGACACAGAAACAAACGTTGAGTGACTTTGTTTCTTGGACCAAGTAGCGGGATCAACATTTGCTTACTTTGGGACTGCCAGGCTCTCATTGGGTGTCCAGGCACCTCTTATCCTTTCTCTGGTGAGCTGAAGAGGCCAATCACCACTATGCATCGACAAGCACTTGGGCTAGTCCCTTGTCCACACAAACCCAGATCAAATGTATGGTGGCGCGGGATTCCCCTGACATGAGGGTGGCGTAGTCATACCACACTGTAGAATGCTCCCTGCAAATCGAAACAGATGCTCAAGGGTCTCCAGCGTGTGCGACTTTGACAAGACAGACACGGTTGGAACATAGAACTATTCTACCGCCCTTGGATGTGCATCCGGTTGAGTATGTTCAATTCCAAACAAATCATCTTTAGTCTCTATGCATGTTACATACATGGTGCATATATATATATATACACATCACGCCGTGTTTACTTAAGACTGTGACACGTTTGTGAACAAGACTACGTTTTTGACACGCTTATACGTTTTCTTACGAAGACAAATAGTGAACTGAAGTTGACACGCCGTGACGAGTCTTCCGCATCAACCCGAATCCACAATCAAGCAGCGCACTTTCAAGCAGCACACGCTTGTTCCCAGTGCGCGTAGAGCCTTCACCCATCCCACTCCACCCCACCCCACTCTCAGTCAGTCGCATTGTGTAGTGTAGCGTAGCGTAGAAGAATTTCTTCTGTATGGGTGTGCAAATAGAACCGAACGTTAACATCCCAACCCATCCCACTTCACCCCACCCCACTCTCAGTCAGTCATTGTGTATCGTAGCGTAGAAGAGTTTCTTATGTATGGGTGTGCAAATTGAACCGAACGTTTATATCCCGTCCCATCCGACGAAAACCCTCGGAATAGTGGAACAGTTCTGAAGTCGTAATTACAATGTGTTTTATATCAAACGACAAAAGCAGGCGCGGTAAAAACGTGTCTTTGTCGCGCAAAGTTCCCACACAAGACTATCCAAAAAGCGTGCAAATTACATATGAAAGTACATGTGAGGCAAATACACTCACAGTCCTAAATAAGCCCGTCTAGATTTATATATCTGCATATTTGGATGCCAACAACTTGAAACTTGTTCTGGCTGATTGCTTTCAAACGAAACATGGCTGCTTGGCGACCCTATTGGCTGTTAGGACGCACGCAGACTGCATAGGCAAAGTAGAAGGGTGGAGCCCCCATCTCACGCCAGGAAGAACCCTGAAGTTTCGGCAAATTTGTAAAAGCGGTGGCTTTGAGCTTTGGAGGTCATGCATTTGGGCAGTTGGGCATAGGGCATGGGGTTGCCAACATGAGGTGATGCTTTACTCAGCACCCAGCCTGGTACCGAAGGCGTCAGGGGCGCTTGATACTGGTGCTGAATACTGCTGAAGGAGACCCGCAGACTTTCAACGATTGGAAATGACCATTGCAGAACATTGCTTGCTTCAACGATTTGCGTGCTCTCTCCGCGACAACTACGTGCAATTGACAAGCTGCCCAAGAGATGTTCAGTTTGCCTGGCTTTTGATTCACAAGGCGAGATGCTGAGGAGGGTAAAGCGCCAAATTCTCGCAAACGAATCCCAATTGCTTCAAGCCCACTCAGGTTCGAGAATGACTCAGGGGTTTAAGAGGATCTCGCATCTCTCTCTGTGTGTGTATGTGCGCTTCAACAAGAAGACTGCACATTGGAGTCATGCCAGCCAAAAAAAGGGCTTTGCAAATTGAGACCATGTCGGGATGCAAATCGGGTTGCAAATGCTTGGTTAGGGCGAGGCCTATGGAGTCCCTTGCGTTCCAAGCGGAAGCAGCTACCATTTGGTCGAAGCCTTTGCTATCTGAAAAGCACAACGCCGCAGAGGCCGCTTTTGGTGCCTGAGGTGACCTCCCATGTCCTGGGGCCGAGAGGTACACCAAAGATTTGTGATGGTTTCTCTTTTGGACCTGGCACTCAACCTTGTGTATTAATATACCCGTGCAGTGGCAATTTACTAACTTCCTGTAATCTTTAAGAGCGATTTTGCCAGTTCTCCCTGTGTTCTTGGCAGGAATGGTCTTTGACAGCGAGGCTTGGCTTTGGGCTCAAAACAAGAGCTTTGGACGTCAAACGTGGGAAAGAGCTTCTGTTCACAGGAGAAGCTCGTTTGCATGTGGCGTGTCCTGATCCGGACATGTCAGGCATGGCTCGAAGATGTGCAACAGAAGATACCCGACAAGGAAGCCAAGTTTCTTGGCCAGACTGTTCAGGTGCAGCGAAAAATACTATGGGCAATAGCCTTGCAGCTGCAAAGATTGTCAAAGCCGACAACTGCATTAAAGTACTTGCTCCATTTTAGCAAATGGATGGTCTTAACTTAAGACAGCAATAGAAACTATTTTCACAATCCGAAGGCAGACCGGCAGATTGTTGTTGGCAGACTTAGACCTCTTGGACAGCCGAGGATTGTGATTGGCTGTGCAGCTGGTGTTAGATCAAAGGCAGACACGCTATTTCCTTTTTTTGTCTGGGCTTCAGGTGGGCTCAGAATGCAACTATCCGACCGCGGCAACATGGTATGCAGTATTCCTCACTTGAAGGTTTGTGTTATATACCATTCGTGAGTCTCTATTGCGCTGGCGCTGGCATGCTCGTATATAGTTGGGCTTTGAAGGAGTATCCAGGAGAGCTGGAATAGGACTTTAGGTACAGTTGAGATAAGATTGGGCCTCCAATATGCTGTTGTGCTGATGGAAGATAGGAAAGGCGAGGTGATATGCTCTGACTTCCACAACCTTGCTGAGCCTAATCAGCAGTAAATGCATGATCACAACCATTGGGGAATTTGTTAGGAAGTATTAGTATTAGTGTTAGTATTAGTAGTATTCGTGTGGGAAGCTGATTGTTTTGACACGAAGGCTGCCGCTCGGGTTTTGGAAGCGGCCAGCGCCCAAATGAGTCATTGCGCAGGTTTCTGTCTTGAACAGATGAGAGAAAGATGATGTCGACACTGGAGTTCAACAATGCTCTTGTTGCCGTGTTTTGAGGCTGGATACCTGAACGTCCAGGAGCTTGTTTGAGGCCCAGATGTTTGAGCAGCCAGATTTAGCGGATGCAATTATATAATTACAGTTGGCTGGCAAAAGACTCAAAGCACCAAAGTACCGTACCCGGTAGCTATGGAGCCTTTACTTGAAACTTGAAGCTTTCTAGGGAAACGTGAACCTTTTGTTTTAATGCTAGTAGCAAGAAGCTACTAATAACAAGGGCATCGCTACTAGGAACAAGGGCATCGCTACTAGTAGCAAGAAGCTACTAGTAACAAGTGCATCGCTACTAGTGGCATAATGGTAGCCTTAGAGTGGCTGCCCCTTTTAATGGGCTGAGGATGATGGCTTCAACGGCTGGGCAGCGCACCTCGCAGAACCAATGGATTTTACAATCGACAAGAGGACGTTTTTGAAGAGAGGTTTTGTGAGAATTTCGTATTCAAGGATGGTTTAAGGTGTTTCAACCATTCTGCAAATAGAGACTTGTCCAAGGTCTGGACATCCTGTGGGACCGCTTGCAAAGTGAGAGTTAAATCTCCGGAGATCAATTGAAAACACCCATCGTGAATCCACGCTAGAAAAGATGGCTTGCCTGTTATTGTGGAAAGACCAGAGGGGGGCAAAGTATCATTGTGGGGACGGGTTTTCTTTCCAACAGCTTGCCCTGCCCGAGCCAGCTGAGCCTGCTTGCTTTAACACTCGATGGCAGTTCACTCATGTAATGGATGACTGCCTTTGCCTGAATCGCTCATCCTTCACTACACTTAGTTCACGGGTTCTTTGCTCCTTTCCACTCATCGCCCCCTCTCCCATTCTCCTTTGTTGCTGCAATTCTCCCGCCTCACCTCTTTTTTTGACAATGTATGATATATATATATATATTGGTAAGAGTCACCTCTGTGATCCACTTTATGGTACCTTTGTACATTTTATTCGTAGGAATATAGTCATATAGTATATTATATATAACAATAATTACAGAACAAGTAGTACAGAAATATATTTCCTCACATGTTTTCAATGTTGCCATCCTTTGTCGCTTGTCCAGACTTGGATTGTTGCAGCATCAAATTTAGCTGCTTGTGTTGGTGGAAGGAGTTGTGGTTGAGAGAATCATGCCGTTGGCAAGGACGACACCTTTACATTGCGTGTGTGTTTGATATGGTCCGATGCGTTTAGCACCAATGAGGACTTGAAACTTCTCGATGCTGAGCCATTCCACTTCTGAAACACAGCTTGAGAGCGTTGCAAAGAGCTTGCTGTTGTTGCAATCAAATCATTATCACCCCTGTGGTCCTTCAGTCATTCACTGGGCATGGCTCCTTTAAACTTTAAACTAGTTGCCAGTGCCTGCCACCGATTCTGCTTGTACGAAATGCAAGTGGTTTTCTTGAGGCGCAATAGATCATGCCGTTCAGGGTTGCATGCTACAAAGCCTTTGACAGAGGACAGGCTCGAATTCTCCAGAAGAGTACTACTTGTACCGTACTATAGAACTAAGTGACAGCATGGTTAGGGCCAACCATTCTGTTTGTTGATCGGTTTGGCAAAGTTATTGAGTTATTTGAAAGTGCTTGAACCACTGGCTGCACTTGGCAAGGAAGACACCTTTGCATTGCGTGTGTTTGATATGGTCCGATGCGTTTAGCACCAATGAGGACTTGAAACTTCTCGATGCTGAGCCATTCCACTTCTGAAACACAGCTTGAGAGCGTTGCAAAGAGCTTGCTGTTGTTGCAATCAAATCATTATCACCCCTGTGGTCCTTCAGTCATTCACTGGGCATGGCTCCTTTAAACTTTAAACTAGTTGCCAGTGCCTGCCACCGATTCTGCTTGTACGAAATGCACGTGTTTTTCTTGAGGCGCAATAGATCATGCCGTTCAGGGTTGCATGATACAAAGCCTTTGACAGAGGACATGCTCGAATTCTCCAGAAGAGTACTACTTGTACCATACTATAGAACTAAGTGACAGCATGGTTAGGGCCAACCATTCTGTTTGTTGATCGGTTTGGCAAAGTTATTGAGTTATTAGTTCTTGAAAGTGCTTGAACCACTGGCTGCACTTGGCAAGGAAGGCACCTTTGCATTGCGTGTGTTTGATATGGTCCGATGCGTTTAGCGCCATTGAGGACTTGAAACTTCTCGATGCTGAGCCATTCCACTTCTGAAACACAGCTTGAGAATCCATTATAGCTTAACCGGTGTTGGTCTTCACAAAAAGCTTGGCCTTGTTGCAATATCAGTGAACATCACCTGTGCGGTCCTTCAATCGTTCACTGAGCGGTGCTCCTCGAGAACGGTGTTGCACGAACGTGTTTGTCTTTTTGCGTTGCTCTGTTAGATAGATTCAGCGACCACGGACTGTGCTCGGCGCCAATGCGGGGACATGACCCTTTTGCAGCAGCCCGTACTGCCACTGTATTGTATAGATTTGTATAGCTTGACGTAGAAGTATCTACTGTCACCAGGCTCGTTGCTCAAGCTGTGAGTGCTCAAGCCAGTCCCTAATAAAAATCTGGCTGTTGCCCATAATAAAATCTGGCTGTTGCAGCAGCGAGCTTTCACCACAGTTGCTCTGACATCATCCTGGGCGTCACCGCCACCGAGTTTCACGAGGCACTATCTGAAGGGTCAAATCGACTTTGCTAGTGATCCTTTGAGGATGACTTCGACTTCAGGACCATGCTTTAAAGCAATATCTGGTGGGAGTTGCAAGCCGGATGGACTTGGAAAGACAGGCTCATTGGTCGACCACACCTGACGTGTCTTCACTGGGCGGGTTGGAACTTTCACCAAGCTGGTGAGACTTGGCCGGCGTGGACCTTTCGGGAGGCTTTGCTGTAGCCCCTGCCGGGGTTGCACGGAGGGGAACAAAGGGCCTTCATGCCGACCTTCAGAAGACTTTGCAAGGCAACTGGAAGCAGCTTCCTGAAGCAGTCCGCAGGCAGTGTGGGGCCATGGGTATTCCAGCGGAACAGCCTCAGACTTTGGCTAGTTTGCCAGGAAAGCTCGAGACAGCAACATTGGCTAAATCGGAGCCCACCATTGCCACGAAACTTGAAGCAGCTGGCGGAGAAAAAGGTGGTGCTGCAAGCCAAGGTGGATATTGTCAGTCGCAGTGCACGGCACTCCTTCAGGTCGCAAAGATATCCAGTTGAAGATTGAGCAGGCCCACAGGGAGTCGAACGAGCATCGCCCTGTACAGCCAGTTCCTTGAAGTTGACAAGCACTGGAGGAGGACACTGAGAATCCGGAGTTGACGGAGGAAAAAACTCTTGACGCCGTGAAGGGCATTGGATTGACGCCAACGCGTGATCAATTCAACAGTTCACCAAACAGATTGAGGAAAATGCCGGCGAGCAGATGCGCGTGCAGAGGGGGGTAGCACTTGCAGATTAGAACAGGGCAGCGGTACTTTGATGGTGGTGCACATCAAACACCGCGACGGCCATGGGTCCAGGTTATTGGTTGAGAGGAGGGTGATGCAGCCCATTTTTTGTTTGGGTTTGCGGACTTGGCGGGTGCGCAGAATGTGGTGGACTTCTACAACTGTTACAACCATGTGGACCACAGACACATTTTCATGCAAAGGCAGGCCTCACCACTTGGTAGGGGAAGGGGAAGGATTGTTGCAAAATGGGCAATCTGTGAGAAGAATGGCTTTCGAGTAGGCCACGTTGGGTGTTACGGGCAGAGAGATGAAGCGCCACGTGTCTGATCGAAACGAGACCGCCAGGGTGTACTCCCTCATTTTGGGTTGCTTTGCCACTCTGGCGGGCTTAGATCGTACTGGCTTTGCTGTCGTTGAGGTTTGCTGGAAGAAACCGGTGTGAAGTGGGTTCCGGGCATGGACGTCTCAGCGGCCGCGGCTGCGGACAATGCGTTTTAATGTGGAAGTGGAGACCTGCAAAGCTGGGAACGAGCTGAGTTGTGCTTTGCTCCCCACCTACATGCCAGCAGACTTTCAAATTGACACAAATTGGCAAATTGGAAGGCGCCAGTTTCAACCACGTGCGCAGATGCTTTTCCGTTTCAGCTGGCAGGTGGAAACGCTGCTTTTCAGCAAATTCTCAACCAAGAAGACTGGGTTCCTGCCCACCACAGAAAGTGCAGGCTCGTCAGCGGAAGCAAGATCCTGTCGAAAGCGTCCGGTCAAGAATTGTTATGCGTGCAGGGTCACCATGCAGAACATGTGTGAACATCTCCAAGAGTTGAAGGATGTTCCTGCAGTGCGTCAGAGTTGGAAGGCTTAAGTCACAGACCATTTACTTGGTGTCGCTGACGAATGGTTCTAGGGACAAGTTGGCCATGCTGGGATGCGGTGGGTGGAAGGTGTTGCATGGCCTTGTGAAGAGATGTGGGGGCATGAGACTGGTTCCCAAGCCGGGTTTCCTACTTTGTGCTGACCGAAGGCAGTGGACCCTGGAATGGATTTGGAGCCGCGCCAGTCTTACAGAGGATTGGTTTGCGGACCTTCTTCCTCGACAAGATTCCAACATGAAATTGAAGCCCCGCATATAAGCCCAAACTAATTATTTTGACCACCCCAAAATTGTTTTTTCAGCCTTGGGCTTCAAAACTTGAGGGAAGCAACATGTTGCAATGGACTATGCTGGTACATTAGAGCAGGGTTCTATGTCATAATGTAACGTAACCTTGGCTCGTGCTTCTCAGAAATGGGTTAACAACAAACTTGTTGCTGGAACGGGCGGCTTGTTCTTTTTGAAGCAAGGGTTTTTGGCAACCCCAGCGAAGTCAAACCATAATAAAACACATCGATGAAACACGTGGTTCTGAATTGCTTCCTGCGCAGGTGCCTATGCTTGCGGAACACTACGCGTCTTCAACTTCAGCTACCTGAGCATATGGCTTTTCATCTCAGTGCGACCCATTGCTCACATCCTGCTGCAGATCCCTTCCTCGGAACATGTCCTTGAAAACTGTATCAGGATGTGTTGTAGCTTTCTAGGGTCGGCAACCAGTCATTGGGCAGCGCAGCATCCTTCATCACTTCATTTTCACTACAAATGTTCACGTTTTGATCCTTACATTTTTGCATGCAGCTCTATGCAGCCACAGTAAAGCTGGGCAAGGGGCGGGCTGAGTGAATCCACTGGGTATCGTTCCTGTTTGGTGCCAGGACCTCAAGATGCCTGTGGATTTAATGTATTTACATTTGATTGTTGTGGAAACTGTACCCTGTGCCTCCAACATGTGCATATGTAGATGCATGCTCCATTTGCGGATTACCTTATGTTGTGAGTTTGTTTTTGTTGGTGCTTCCTGCTTGGTTACCATTCTTTTCTGTAATACGTGCTTCGCATTGGTGAGTCAATCTATTCCAATGCCCTCCTTTTTGAAGATAAGCTTGGAAGTACTTGTTGTGACGAACTCGAATAGCTTCATTTCAGTGATTGTTCAGAAGTGTGGCCAAACATGGTTTCAACTTTCAACAATGATTGTCATGGAGTCAACTTGTATATGTGACTCAGGCGGCCCGTGCGATGGGGGCAGGTTTCGCGAGTGGCTTTTATGTTTGTTGTTTGCTGACAAGTTTATATACATGAAGCTTCGTTGCCTACCCAACCCTTTCACCGATTCGCTCTGACAACCGTACAATGCTGTTTCCGTTACCTTGCATCAATCAAACTTTCATTTGGGATGACAGCAACACTGTCAACAAGATGCAAGATCTCTGGAATAGGAAAGAGTGAACTTATCGAAGACACCATGAGGTGCAGATGAAACAGCTGGCATCTTAGTACCTGCAAACCTTGGACATTGGAGTGAATCGGGCCATGATTTTGCTTGCTCATGGTGAATCTAGCTTGGCATTCATACCTCCATCCCTGAATCTCTTGTAAGTAGTGTTGATTTGATCGGTTTCTGGCATTTTACGGCGTTGTGTATATAATCATTTAGCATTTTGACATTTGAGTTCCCATTTTTCTTTTCGAAAGCACTTCGGACCACTTTGGCACTCCAAGGCCGAGAGCCTCAATGAGCAGGTTCAGCGACTCCGGACTGAGGCGCCGGTGGCAAACGACGACTGAAGAACGAGACAAGCAGCTTTGCGGTTTTGCAAACTGCCTACAGGGCTACAAGTCTGTCATTCTTCCAATCATTTCCAAACTTGATAAGGCAAGCAGCTTGCTCACAATCGTAAAGGGTTTCACAGCAGCATTTGGTGCAACATTAAGCATGATTGCTTGCCAGAACGTGAAGCTGCGTGAGCTCCTAGATGCTATGGGGGTGGAGTTGCATGGGCCCCAGCTCTCGCAGAAGTTAGTTAGTCGAACATCCTCGGTAGAACGGAAAGCGTATACATTGCTACATTCAATGCCACAGTCTTCTCCGTGACTGACAGCGTTTCAATGTTTCGATAGGCCTTATAGTACTTGCTTGCAAGACTGGGACATCTCAAGAAGCCACAGTGCTTAAGTCGCCTCCTCCTACATACTGTATTTAAGTCGCTCAAGAAGCCACAGTGCTTAAGCTTCTCTGCGATGTTAACATCTTTGGACAAGGCCAGGCCTCAATGACGGAGGCAAGGATATCCTTGCACCAGAGGTCATTGCCGGCTAAGTTTCTTCTTATCGTAGACTTCCTCAAGATCTCAAGTCAGATTCTTGCTGGAGTTCTGACGTGACTACTTGGCACAGGCATCACTGGTGTGGCTGATGCTCTGGCTGG